TGGTTATGCAACTTCATTACCTTTGATTGGTGTCACTGTTTTTACTACCACTGACATCTTCCGTTACTTCTGATGAGCAATTTCGTCTTCATGTTGGTCATTTCATCTCCATGCCGACTGCGTCAGCTATTGCCAATAGACAATTTTGACTATGACAGAAGGACAAGCTATATGCTCAGGGGCTCATCAACTCAAGCGTGAGGATTATATCTCCAATTTGGACTTGTTCCGGATACATTCCACATGGATTCATAGTCATGAGTCTATTTTCTATGCTCAAAGACTGGACCAATTATTATTCCCCGTAAGGGCTATCAACCGAATACTTGCGCCAGTCGGGATTCAATTATTATATTTATTTTGGAGTATCCCATAAGGGATAATCATTCAGATCAGAAGCTATTCATATGAGCTACACTTGGTCTATATTACCCAGAAGATTTATTACTCGGGAGCATGTTACATGCGTCATCCTTTAAAGGGTGTCGAAGGCATATTTTTTGGCCTAGGCCTAATATGTCTGCAGCCTATATTTTCAGGTGTGGCCTGTCACGTTCTTTTAGGGACTTAGGCACTTTTCGCTTAGGCCAAAGTGCGCGTGATCAAGTGCCCAATACCTTAAAATCCTTTTATACCGCAGTTACTCAACTTTTTAGGAGTTGGTACAATGCATCTTAAAAGGTGTCAAACAGTAAAGCTTTATATAGCTGCCCCGCTGACTTTTTTATATAGTCAAGGTGCTGTTTGGGTTTATCAAGCAATTGATTGGATACAATATCATTGCTTTTTGCCACGTAAGTGTGCATTTTTATTGACCAATATTATGGCTTAGGCTGATTATATATTATGGTCATTTTTCAGGCGGTTGGTAAATCCTTTATGAGTTTACTTACTCGGATTTTACACCACATATGCCATATATTTCCAGGTGTGGTGAAACCATGTGTCTTTTAGGGACTTAAGCACATCTGTTAAAGCAGTGTGCGCATGGCGTATGCCCAATACTTTGGAAATTTCTTTATTCACAGCATTCAAGCTTCTTTATAGTTGTTTTGCTATGTGAATTTTCAATAATGTAGCCAACTTTAGGTTACATTCATCATATTTTACAAAACAGTCGGTATATCACTTGGATCATATTATTCGGGGATTCACACCGCATATGCTATATATTGATATCAAGTCACTTGGTTGATTACGATTATCAAAACCACTCGGTTGGTTGGATTATTTATTCCTTGACTATATGCTTGGTTTGTTCAATTAACCACATTGTCGGGGGCTACACCTATTAGGTGCATCTAGTCGGTGCACCTGACTTTATTTTCCAGCCCTCCACAGTCTTCAGATTTGGTAAAAGTACTCGGGAGACTATGACAAAGATGATTGAAGCACTCGGCTTTGGAGTAATCTGGTTCGAGAGAAGATTATCTTTTCGACTGCGAAGGTCTCAGGGGCTACTGTGGATATTATGGGTACCCCATACCCATACGGCATGGTTATCCGACTAGTCATAGGGGATAACTTATATCTATGGAATATGTAATAGATCATGACTCGGGTATTACGTTTCCTTGTATATTACGGAACGGCCTAAAGTCCTGGTTTGATAATATTGTAAAGTAGATTTAGGAAACCGATACCGTATTGGTTAAGGTTTCTATCTTGTAATCCTGCCCCTCATCCTATATAAGGTGGGCAGGAGGCCCTCTAGGGGGCAGATGACACAACCTGATCGTCAGATCAATACACACCCGGCGGATTCAAATCCCCAAACAGGAGTAGGGTATTACCTCTCATTGAGAGGGCCTAAACCTGTCTAAATCCTTTGTCTCTGCATCCATCCACTTTTAGGTCTCGTGCGCTACCCCTTTTTATTATTGCCGAAATCATGTTTCGACAAATACAAACCGAAAGTATTACAACATGATATTCTCCTAAAATCGAGACACTCAGCTAGTAAGAGACTTCCTCCGGTGCTTGAAAGTTATGGTGTCCGTTGATTACTTGCCATCTAACGATCTGTGATAAAAGGTATGCCTCAAAAGGTATTAAAAAAGTGAGCCAGGTACTAACTTGATGTTTTAGGTGGAAGGTTAGATTGGTAACTTTACTTTTATACAGATTAGAGGGTGGGGCTTTAATCAGTAAAAGAATTAGGATCGATAAGCCCTGCTTGCTGATAAGAACAATTTCTTCAGCAAGTGCCGCACAGACGAAACGCCACCACCACTGATGATCCAAAATGACCAAGAATTTTGTATACATACAAATTAAGATTCAACATACTGGTTGATCGTGCCATACTTGTGGATTGTGTATGGATGAAAGAGGATATGTGTTTCTTTGGACTCTAAATTTAGATGAGAACCTGAAGAATTAATTAGGGAAATTGGATTTTGGACAAGTGTTAGGATTTATGATCTCATGTACTGAAAAGCAAAAAATGAATTAAACGATGCGAACGACATAATCGAAGATAAGTAACAAACTGGATGCGAAAAAAGAGAGAGACGGTTACGTGTAAAAGGAATTAATTATCAACTTTTATAATATATTGTTTTCTATTCCTAAGTTGCCCTTAACAGATCAACGGTGGATTAAGTAGTAAGGAAGGTACCTCTGGTACCTCTCAAGCACCTTAAAAGCTCTCAGCTAGTAAACGTGTAAGAGTGCTACAAAAGAGTGCAGTACCAAAAATGGGTACGTTGACAACATCGTATATCCAAGCATAGCCTCGTCCCGTGTAGCAATGGATAAAATCAATTATTGCGCAATAGATCAAAATCACAAATAATATTATTGAAACTGTTAGTACCAATCTATTTCCTCTATTATAAGTCGTTTTTTTGACTTTTTATAGTCAAAATGATTTATAATATGAAAATGAGTGAGTATTAATTTACCACAATGCAGTGTGAAATTAAAATTTTGTTTCTTCTTCCCTTTCCATTTTTTATCGTCACTCTCCATCATCGATAACGGTAGCACTAGGTACGGTCACTAACCTTGCACCCAAGCTCTTTACTTATATAGTTGCCTAACAGATTTGTAAGAATTGAGAGAACTTCTCTCTAAAAATTTTATAGGACATTCCTACAATAAATATACTTAGATTTTATTCAACAATCCTACAAATATCTAGTATTTTTTTATAAAAAAAGGATAGTGACATTTATTATGAATATGATGGTTATAACAAATTATAAATATAGTTAAACTGAAATTTATTATATGCATTTATATATAGTTTTCGGTAGATAGTTTGAAACTGGTGATAAGGGTATATATGATTAGGTATTTTGTACACAATATATAATATATATAATTATGTATAATAGAAGTATATAAATTCTAGAAACATGAAGGTTCACGTATGGAGAAAATTTAGATTGGTATGGCATATATTCGTAATCAGTTTATATTTTATATCCTCATGCTCTCTAATTATGCTAGTTTAATAGTTTAGGAATAGCACTCGTAATCTGTATGCCCGAGGATAAAAGTTTTGGTTAAAACTCGTTAACTAATACCATGCCTGGTACCATCTATAGTCACTACTTAAAAGCGAGATCCCCTAATTGATCGCGGGCGGACTAAAACAACGTCTGCATATCAAAAAGATTTCGGTGGTATTCGGTTAAGACTTGCATGCGAAAAATTTTCGTATATGAATCTCTTAATAGGCCTGTCTGCGAAAATAAAATTATTTTCGTAGGCAAGTTTATTAATTGAGAGACCTATATGCGAAAATACGCTTAGACACCACACCGATACCCTCTCCTTTAAAAAAACACTCACACGATGCCTCATCCCTCTCTCCACCTCTCCATCTACCTTTCACTCTCTGACTATCTCATCTCTCCCTCTCACCCACCGACGAACCGGTTGGCAGAGGTCGGCAACGGCGGCGACAAAATTCATCCTCCCCTCTCAATCCACCAACGCACCGACTGGCAGTGGTCGGCGACGGCCACAACGACATCGACCGCAACGACAATGACAACAGCAACAATGATGATGGCCGAGACGACGGCGATGTGAGCGGGATTCTGCCGTCGGGCCTTGGGCATGCGGATCCACCATTTTTGGGTCTCGGGCACGCAGATCTGTCACTGCGTTGCCTCGGGAGCACTTGATCTGTCGCCGTCGGGCCTCGAGCAGATGGGACCACTGTTTGTTGGGTCTTGGGCGTGCAGATCCACCATTTTTGGGCCTCGGGCACACATCTGTCACTGCATTGCCTCGGGAGCACCCGATCCATCGCCCTCGGGCCTCGAGCGGATGGGACCACTATTGTTGGGCCTTGGGCGTGCAGGATCCACCACCACCACCGGGCCTCGTCGCTGTGGTGGTCGACCTCGTGGTGTCTAGCCTCCGCTCTCCCTCGCCCTCTCCCTCCCACGGGGATCTTGCCGTCTCTCCGCCCCCTCGTGTGGATCCACCGCCGCTGGCCCCACGACGGGCGGATCCGGCACCGCCACTGAAGGGGTGGCGAGGAGCGGCGCCAACATTAGCCTTGTGAGTGGCAGAGGTGATGATGGCAGATTGCCGGTGGCGACGGCGGTGGGAATGGGGATTTATGATTTTTTTTGAAATTTTTAATTATTTTTACCAAATTTTGTTTTTTATGAGCCGCATACCTTGTCGCATGTGAAAATTTATTTTTCATATGGTTTGACCATCCTCGTGGAAAAATTTTCAATTTTCGCTGACACTTTGGGGACGGGTGGGCAAAGAGTCCACCCGCGAAAATACGTTTTGACCGTATTTAAAAATGGTTTCCGTAGTGGTGAGTGCTCTTTCGACATCAGACTGTACGTGCCGGTTTTTATAACACCGGCCGTTAAGCCCACCTGAAGACACGTGTGGTCTATCTGAGCTTTGTGATCAGCCATCCTTGTCATTGTAGAGATTTCCTACAAGTTCATGCGCATTCATACAATGAACCCCAATTAATTAGCTAGTGCGCCCCTGCCTGCTCATGAGTCATGACATATACTAGCTTGATCAATATACAATGCAAGAAAAGTTCAACCAGGTTGGCAATTTTAGGCTGGCAACGATAGTAAAGGTTAGCAAATTAACGAAAGAAGCTTCAGCTGCCCGCTTTCTCTCCACCTAACGGCAGGCTCATGACTCATCATGGGCGCATGGAACGGGGGCACATGCACGGCACACACGATATATCATATACTACTCCAATATCATATCATATAAATATAATAAGCGGCTCACAGTGAGCCGCGCGCTTATCCCCTCATATCCTAATTGGGTTGCAATAATCAGTTCTTGTGCGATCGTTCGTTGCAAGTAGCAATTCGTCAGCTCTGCTCCAACTTCCATTGATTTGTCACTTTGTTTTTTTCTCTGCATCGTCGTCGTACCTAGCACTAGCACTGGACGAAGCTAGTTTAAGCTAGCTCGCGGCCGGGCTCGTCGTCGTCGTCGCCGGCCATGAAAGGCGGCGGAGGCGGATTGTGGCGGCCGCGGGTGGAGTCACGGGGGACGTTCAGGCGGCGGCTGCTGACCGTCACCGCCGGCTGCTTCCTCTTCTTCATCGTCTTCCTCCTCTCCTCCCGCCACGACGCCATTGTTCTCCTCGACACCCGTCGTCAGTGCCACTGCCTGCAACTACTTTGCACTTGCACTAGTTGAGTTCTCTTCTCCCTCCCGCACGGCACCATGATCTCACAGTGTTCCGGCCATGACGTCATGCAGTGGGAGTGGGACGTCCCACGGCGGCGTCGTTGCGCTCGCCGGCGGCGGCCGACACCCTGCCGGACGCCGGCTCAGCTGGTCGCCGGAATCATGAGGCTCCCTCCTCGCCGGCCTTTTCTTCAGGGGTTAGAGAAACGGTGACCGGGGTGGAGACGAACGACGACGGCGCCGAGAGAGGGGCGGAGCCGGCGGAGCGCGACAACGCCGCGCCGGCCGCCGCGGCAGCCATCTCCGGCGGCGATCAAGAAGCACAACCAGGTTCGTCTTCCACAACCGCGCACCGACACTATCTACAGTAGTTGACAAGTGCACGGACTCCAAATTTGACCTGCAATTCTGCAAACCGTGGATGCGGCGCACTTACAGGTACAGCAGCCGTGGATGCGGCGCCGGGCCACGACAAATCCTTGCGGACCGCCGCCGCCACCGGAACGTCTCCTCCACGGCACGAACAACCAGGTGTGTAATACTACTACACCGTAGTAATAACTACTCTGAAATTGAGTCATGCTCGGTAGTAAATTCCAGGAGGAGAGAATACAATTCCAATCCGGATGCACGTTTGTGTGTGCAGTTTAGTATAGGAATCCTATTTAATGCATATACACTATCAAAATAAGGTTGTGTTTAGTTCCACGCTAAAATTAGAAGTTCGATTAAAATTGAAAGTTTGAAGAAAAAAGTTGAAAGTTTACGTGTACAAGGAAGTTTTGATGTGATGAAAAAGTTAAAAGTTTGAAGAAAAAGCTGGCAACTAAACAAAGCCTAAGTAGTGGGAACTAAACAAGGCCTAAATAGCGCACATAGAATGTAGGTTGTCGGCCCATGTCAGTGAGCAGTACTGCATATAGATCTCAATTGGCGCACATATCTTATCTAATTTTCTTTTCCTTTTCTTGTTAAAAATTTTTAATCCGGTTTTGAAAACTTTTAACTTTTTTTTGCGGGAAAAAGACTTAGATTTAAAAACTTTTAACTTTAATATTTGAAAACTTTTAAACTTAGATTTAAAAACTTTCAAGTCAAGATATAAAAAAATTTCAACTCAGATTTGAAAACAATCATATAAAGATTTGAGATTTTCAATTCATATTGAGAAAATTCTCTACATATCCCTAAATTTTTTTGTAATATCTTGTATACTCCTGAATTTTGGCTCACCCCCTACATGACCTTGAGTTTTTATTTTGATCTCCTACATCCTTATTCCGTTAGTTGACCGTTAGATTTTTCTAAAATAACCATATCATCCATTTCCCATACTTACATGCTATCTACTTCATATTTCACAATGTGAAAAATTGGAACTCATAAAAAAAATCAAATGAGGCATAATTACTTATTGTAAAATTCGAAAAAGAATATTTAAATTGTTGAATAAATTTATTTTTTTTAAAAAAATCCATATATAAGAGTTTTAGCTAGAAATTATGAACCAAAATTATTTATTTATTGGGTTCAAATTTTGTTGAAAACAATGTTTGAATTTCATAAAAGTCAATTAAAAATTTATTTACAAATTTTAGATTTATTTTTAAAACTTGTTGTCAAATAATTATATTCCCTTTGTTTTTCTACAAATAGATCTTTTATATAAGAATTGTGTTTTTATGATTAAACTAGCACATAAATATAAGAGAGGGGATAATATAGTCAATTTCAAAAACATTTAACAGTCAACTAACGGAATAGACATAGAAGAGATCAAAATAAAAACTCAGGGGTATATAGGGAATAAGGCAAAATTCAGGGGCACATAAGGGATTGAACGAATTCTCGAGGATATATAGGGGATTTTCTCATTCATATTTGAAAACTTTCAAATCAAGATTTAAACTTTCAGCTTAGATTTGAAAACTTTCAAGCAAGATTTGAATTTTTGAGTTGAGAGTTTTAAATTTTGATATGAAAGTTTTAAACTTTGAGTTCCAAATTCTAGTTGAAAGTTTTTAATAGAATGTTTTGAAATTTGATGTGAAAGATTTGAATTCTAAAGTACATTAAAAATTTGCAAAAAAAAAAAACAGCGTGCTAACACTATCTCTATTAGCTTAACATTAATCTCTGTTAGCGCTAAGCGTGGGAGGATCACTGCTGCTATGCTGCGGGTGTGGTGTGTGAGATGTTTTTATGGCATCTGCGTAAATTAGGGGTTGTTTGGTTAGTAGCTAACTTTGCCAAACCACAATTGAGGCAAGTTATGGCTCATAAATCCTTAGTCATATATTAGACAAGCTTAGTTAAAAAATTGGATTAATGACACGTGGGACCATATAGCTGAAAAGTGTGGTGGGTCACAGTTGTGGTAATGAACCGAACTATTGCCAAAAAGTTGTACATTAACTAACCTTAGACATAGCAAATTGAAGATAGCAACCAAACAGCCCCTAGACCTGCTCATCAGAATACGCGTACAGAATATTGTTTACATTTTATTATTCCCCCCGTCCTAAAATAAGTGTAGTTTTGAACTGTTCATGTCTAACGTTTGACCGTTTGTCTTATTTAAATTTTTTTTAGATTAATATTTTTATTGTTACTAGATGATAAAACATGAATAATACTTTATGTGTGACTAACTTTTAAAATTTTTTTCATAAATGTTTTAAATAAGACGGACGGTCAAACGTTGAACATGGGTTCTCACGGCTGCACTTATTTTGGAACGGAGGTAGTATATTGTTTTTTAAAAAAGACTTCATAGCTCAAATTTAACCTTGTATTTTTTTTGAGTGATATACCTCACATTTATATACATTATCTTTTTATTTTTAAAATCTCATAACTAATTGAATTGACAAAAATAAAACGATGGGATATTACCTCAAGCAACAAAATGGCACCTTCCCTCGTTAACAGCATTGATCATGCGACGGCTTGTAACTCTGGATCTTCTCCAGGGGAGACCACGACGCGTGCGGATTCGGTAGACCAGCCGCGACATCCGCTGTGCGACTTGTCCGACCACCGCACCGACGTCTGCGACCTCGCCGGCGACATCCGCATGGACGCCAACGCCTCGGCGTTCGTCGTCGTCGTCGACCCGGCGGTCGGCGCGGACGGGCCGACGTACAAGGTCCGGCCGTACCCGCGGAAGGGCGACGCCACGAGCATGGGCCGCGTCACCGAGATCACGGTGCGCACGACCGCGGCGGGGGCGCCGCCGCCGCGGTGCACGACGACGCACGCGGCGCCGGCGGTCGTGTTCTCGATCAGCGGGTACACGGGCAACCTGTTCCACGACTTCACCGACGTGATCGTCCCGCTGTACAACACCGCGGCGCGCTACTGCGGCGACGTGCAGCTCGTCGTGACGGACGGCAACGCGGCCACGCGGCGGTGGCTCGCCAGGTACGGCGCTGTCCTGCGCGGTCTGTCGCGCCACGTGCCGCTTGACCTCGCCGCCGAGGCCGCCGCCGGCGGCGGGGAGGTGCACTGCTTCGGGCACACCGTGGTCGGCCTGCGCGCGCACGGGGAGCTCATCATCGACCGCGAACGCAGCCCGGACGGTCTCGGGATGCCGGACTTCACGCGGTTCCTCCGCCGCGCGCTCTCGCTGCCCCGCGACGCGCCCACGCGCCCCGGCGGCGGCCACGGCGACGCCACGAAGCCCCAACCCCGCCCGCGCCTTCTCATCATCTCCCGCCGCGGAACACGGCTTCTACTCAACACCGACGCCGTGGCGCGCGCCGCGGAGCAGGTCGGCTTCGAGGCCGTGGCAAGCGAGCTGGACATGGCCGGCGCGGACCACGACGACGTCGCGCGCGTGGCACGGCTCGTCAACTCGTTCGACGCGGTGGTGGGCGTGCACGGCGCCGGGCTGACGAACATGGTGTTCCTGCCACCCGGCGCCGCGGCGGTGCAGATCGTGCCGTGGGGCGGTCTCCGGTGGCTGGCGCGGGCGGACTTCGGCGAGCCGGCGGTGGCGATGGGGCTCAGGTACATCCAGTACGAGGTCGCCGCCGGCGAGAGCACGCTCAAGGACAAGTACCCGCGAGACCACGAGATATTCACCAACCCGACGGCGCTGCACAAGAAGGGGTTCACGTTCATGAGGCACACGTTTCTGAACGGCCAGGACATCATCGTCGACATCGACCGCTTCAAGCCGGTGTTGCTCCGCGCACTCAACAGCCTCGCGCGCTAACCTAGGGTCTGTTTGGCAGAGCTCTAGCGCAAGTCTAATGGATGAGTCTAGGGTCCGTTCTGCATTCGGCCTAAGCACGCAAACGTGTTCGGTCTGGCCCACATGCGTCTTGCCCATCTTGAGACACTGTGCTAGAAAAAATTGACACAGAATTTACATAAAAAACTTTTAATATAGGAACATTTTATATAAAAACATTTCAATCCAAATTTGAATTGAAGTATACCCTTTTCTTCATGAACATACCCGAAGAAAGAAAGAGGAGCACGTGGAATCACACAACGAGCATGTGCTCGAGTGCAGGGCATCATGTTGTTCGCTAATCAGCATTTTCAGCTTAATTAGCTGTTGTGCCCCTCCAATAATCTAATCTAAACACTATTATGTCTAAAAGTTAAACATCGTTATATGTTTGATAACAAGGTGAGTATATCATAAAATTTACAGCAAAAACATAGTAAAATAATATAACGCCATATCTTATGTCTCAAAATTAAAACTTTGCCGGTGCACTAGTCAATTTAAATATTTATAGTCCATTAAGTTGTAATTGTAATGGTTCTACAATGCCACTTCAGTCATTCAGTGCCGCCTCCTGTCTCCAGAGACACCCACCCCATCTCCAGGCAGATACTACTGCCAAGAACCTGCTATTGATAGAGATGATAGTGATGATGACAATGACGTCATGCCTACCAAATTAGTAAAAGCTAAATTGGATATAAGAGGATGTTAGACAGGGAGTTAATTTCCAATGCATCTTTACTTAGTTCGCATCACTGCATGGTTCGTGCTGTTCAACGTCTAATTGAATTTAACCCATCTCTATGTTTTCTGACTGTGCCGCCATAACTGCAAACATGTTCAGTTTCCTATGGCATCAAGAGTGGAAGAGCCGAAGAGGCTCCTCTGACGAAAAGGTAGAGGGACATGGTCACTTACGTGTGGGGCCATGAAGGTGGCCCCAACTTGTCAGCGACCCACGTCCCCTCTGACGTTACGTCGGAGGAACTCCGTCCCATCAAGAGTACAATAGCTACCACTGCTCCGTGTAAGGCATGAGAACGCTCGCATTCAAAAATTAAAAAAAAGTAATCAACAATTTCTCGGAGGCCAATGATCCGTTGAGGGATTTTATTTCTTTGTTTTGAGGGGTTTTGCATCGCCCCCCCCCCCTCCTCTTTTTCTTGGCCATTGGTCTACAACATATATCCTAGTGGTTGCAGTGACTTGAGTAGCACCTCAAGGTACTGAGTTCAAATCTCTATAGGAGCGAATTTCAAATTGGGTTATTTGAGGGCTAAGTTACATATTTGATAGGCTAAGTTTCTAATTTAAAATGGCTGCATATATCCGGTTGGATATAGAGGTCGAGTAAAAAAAATACCCTTCTCTAAGAAAAAAAATTGGTCTACAACATGTAACTTGCGTTTTTGTTGGTTCAATTTATAGGTTGGGAGACCAAGAAACTAAACTAGTTGGGTTATTGATTTGGTTAGTGAATTATATAAAAAAAGGAGCTACAAATCTGATATTGCTATCTTTTTCCTTGAATAATACTCCTAGCAAGAATTATTCAATATTGTGCACAATAAACATGTAAATCGGGTTTAATTCATACTCCCACCGGTTTATAATGCATGATACTGTTTTTTTTAACACATATATGTTTAATCATTTATCTTATCCGATATTTTGTGCAAACATTAAAAAAAAGACACGCTTTAAGAACCTTCCAGGATAAATCAAGTTACAACAAAATATATAAATGTTAATTACATTTTTTTAAAATAAAATAAATGGTCAAACATATCTTACAAAGTCAAAACCATCTATCTATCTATCTATCTATCTATCTATCTTCTATTATATACTAAAAGTCCATTAAACTTCCTACAAACGCTCCTAATCCACCACGTGGCACCCCTACAAACGCTCTAAAATTGACATGTGGCGTTTTATTAGACGGGAAACATCTAACCCTCTATTTTTATTTAAACTGATGGATCATTGTTTTACACTATTAGATTAGATTAAAAACAATAGTTTATCCTTTCCTCTCCTCTCCCTGCACGTACATGCTCCTCCCACCCTCCCACGTACACGTACATACTCCTCCCTCCCTCACACATATGTATGTAGGTAGTCCGTACGTACCCCACCCTTTTTACTCTTCCTTTTATTTATTTTACCTAGGATGCCCATATAGTATTTTTATATTACTTTTTTACGCTATTGACTTTTGACCATATGTTTGATTATTCATCTTACTAATAACGTACGTACTTATCATTTATTTTATTATGATTTTACATTGATGACTTATGTTGGCTATATTTTGGCATAGAATACATTGCGACAGAGGACATTGACATGCATTAATTAATTCCATAACAATTTTTCAAAAATAATCACATCATGCTATATAATTTATGATATCAAATATTACTTAACAAATATACAACGGTAATTTGAACTAATGTATAAATGCAAACCACGCAATTTAGTTGTGTTTTTTTAAAAGTAGATCCGATTTAAAATTTAATTTGTGTGAGATTAACATTCTCAAATCATTTTGGAATTTTTCGAAACTATTTGGTTGGTATTTCAATAGTAATAAGCCTACATTATATATAGATCTGAAGAAAATTCACCAAAACATTTTCAACCAGTAAAATATATATCATTGGTTTTTTATCATATATTTTAATCATTGTTTAAATGATACGAAAAAAAGTCAGAATATAATCCAAAAATAGCATACTTATTTTAGAAGTTGAAATATAGTTAATAGTCCAACGACATAAGTCAATAAAAAGTAGATATTTATTTTAAAAGATTATAATAAATTAGGGTTCTTAACTAATATATGATGTAAACAGGAGAGACAATAGGAGGGGAGAGGGCATGAATGAGGGTGGAGGGAGTGGATGGCTTGGCGATGTTGTACGTATGTATTTGTTAGATGGTATTTAAAGGTCTTTTAGTATATGGTACATAGAGAATTAGAGATATGTGTCGGTGGCTATGTGCTTCTATTCCATACCTTCCGGGTATGAAAAAAATTGTATGTTTTCTCTGTTCACAAACCACTAAAAATATCTTATCATCCCTATATATGAACATTAACTTGCAATAAACATATTGCCATGTATATATTCACTTGAAGAATTAAGTTTGGAATCCATTTATATGTTATGGTACACCGAGACATGAAAACAAAGATTAACTAAACTTGATCGAAACTGTAAACACTACTACAATGGAATACATGGCAACCTCCATGTCTCAGCATCTATACAAGTTTTACAACCAAGCAACATGATGACTTGGTGCAAGAAAACAATTATCACCAAACAATTGTCATCTACAAGACATAGACAAATTTTAGAATTATTTTTTTGGACTTTGGAACCCAAGAATTTTCTTGCGCAAACTAGAATGAGAGAGAAAGTGAAGCAGGGAGAGAGTGAGTAGACCAGTCTTAATGAGATAAGAATAATGCATCAATAGAGGATGATAGGAGTCGTATTGAGTCTAGCTAGACCTTGCTTTATTGTCGCCATAGGGCATATGGAGTAGAAGGTGCAAGTAGATTGTATAGTGACCAAGCAAATTCCATGCTAGAAATGAAAAAAGCATTCAAATAATTTATCCGATCTTTGAAACACATATTTTCTACGGTCTTTTAGAACTTCATAGAATATTTAATAATTATGACAAGTGGATAGACATTATTGGCTTCAGATAAATGATTATAAAATCTAATTGTACTTTATTCATGCCAAGTGCAGACTAGCTAAACAAAATATTTGTGGGTTGGTTACTTTCGAGTACATAATTCCTAATATTTAACTACAAATTTTATAAAAAATGAAATCATGGGAACAATCATAAAAAATCGCAGTCCAAAAATAATGATATGTTCATAGTTATATTTATCCATCCAATTATGTTCTCGCTAGCTTCGCTCACTTGCATGAAATTATCCCATATAGGTTGTCTCCTACATTGCACAATAGAATTGGACTCTACAAGAATGGGTATTTAACATAGTTCTGAATCCCCTCAATCCATGAATAAATAAACAACGAAAACCTATTTTAGTATTAGATGTTTATACAAAAGTCGACTCATATTTTTAAAAAGGTTGACATGTAAGGTATCACGCTCTGTCACTATTCTATCATCTCAAAAAATTTGATGTTAAAATAAGATTATATAAAATAAAATAGAAAATACAAAATGTCAATAGGGAGTAAAGTGAACTAATTATAGAAAAACTTATAAAATTCGTAGAAAAAAATAGGTTCTTAGCTTTCACTTAAACTACAACACCCATTAACATAAGCATTGCATCATTTTTGAGTTCTTAGATGATTACATTTAAGTGTGTGATAAGTATGCAACAAAAAGCTAACTAATTAGAGGGCACTAGCTTTATTGTGCAAATAGAACATGTTTATTAAACAATAATGGCTTTGGAATATTTTTAGAAAAAATAGAACCCTTAAACAATCAATTATGAAAAGTTTTTAGTAAAAATTCAAGCAATATCAAATAAAGTGCCCGTTCAACCGCGCGGGCTACTTTCCTAGTTATATATTAAAACTTGCGACAATTTTGTCTCCCCAAAATGTTTAAATTGTTGATCGCGGATCGTCTCCAGATTGTAAAACTACAAACAACAAGGTTGCATGGCATTTTTTATTTATTACAAACGAGTGACATAGTTATTGTTACTATAGTAACTATAATTACACTCCTATAGTCCTATTATCTAAAAAAGTTTTCAAAAAAAAAACTGTTGAACATTCATTAGCTACTCCAATTACTAACTTGTCTTAGAAAAGTTGTGCATGCATGGATAGCTAGCCCACAATGGAAATTGCTACTTATACGACCCAATCGTTTGACTCACGTACAACTGAATTTGATTAATAATTACAAATGTCTGCAATGTATATGAATAGCCTCTCCTTTGATTAATCAATAGTTATAAATCGCTAGTCGTATAAGAGTTGTACAGATGGACCGTATGTATTTTTAGATAATGGAAATGAATTATATCTTTGGCTTTTATCATAAGACATATAGCCACAATTTTGTTAAAAAAAGGTAAAGGTAAAAATAAATCAAAATAAGACATAAGGTCGAGACAAATCCTTAACTCCCCTTTATTATTAACTAGCGCTAAACCACATAGGGTTTTTTTTAGCTAGCAGTTCTAACGTAACTACAACACCCATAGTGGAATAAAAGACCTTGGTTACCTGTTCCAAGAGTGTAGCATCGTAGACCAAAAAGTGGAGCCAATAGAAAGACATGAAAATAATCTGCATTGGGTTAAATAATTGTTTACCATTAAAAACTTTATCATTACGACAACGCCAACTTGACCAACATACAACACTAGCTCCAATTAAAATCATATTTTGTATGGACCTAAATACCCCTATAAACCATTTACCAAAAATATTTTTGGCGTTACGGAGTGGAGGTATATTAGGCATTTCACGGTGCAGTGACATGGCGCATGGATTCAAGGTGCCAAGTAAAAGATTTTGTCCATGTTGCGCTTTGTTGTGCCCCTACATGATTGCTCAGTGCTCAGTTTGGGCACGGGTGCTCCGCTGCGATGCGGTCTCTAGAACCTCACTCCTCACTGCGAGATGGTCCATATAAATAAGTCCCTGTCAGTCCTAGCAAGGAGCGAAGGGTACCCTGCACTGTGGAATATATGACTTGTCAGTGATTCTCCTACGTGGAGTTCTCTTTTTTACAAGAAAACGCAACTTAGTTGGTGTAGCTTGCGTTGCTAGTACCCTTAAAAGCAAAAAAAAAAAAACACTTAACTCTAAAAGATATTAGATTATCTTTTGTGCCCCCCTACCCCAACCTCTATTTATTTTTTGCCAGGTTATCCTTAATTGAAATTACTTCCTTATAAAAAAAAAGCATATAAATACCTCGAATTTTAGTGGAACCATTAAGTCCCATATAACCACATAAAGATAGGCCGTATGTGTAGCAATACTCAGCCCACAATGGAGGCAGCGTGGTCCATCTCATATCGGCAAAAGCTCGAAACCTTGACGGCCTTGTGTGTGATCTTTATATGCTCCAGGTTGATTCTGATCTGCTTAGAGCATCTCCAGCAGGGACCTAAACACAATTCCTAAACAGTTTTTAGGTGCTAAGGACAAAAAATAAACTCCAACAAAGCCCCTACTAGACCCTAAAATAGGAAGGACCTTAAATACCCCTCCGCAGCCCCTAGGCCTAGGGGCTGTAGACCGAGGCCCTATCGCCGTTTTTCTACGCGGGAGGAAATTTCCTGACGTGTGGTGCCTGTCATCCCTCCCATGGAATCGCTGCCACGGCGCCTATCCTCACCAGCTCGCTGGTTCCGCCGCTCGTGGCCAATGGTGTGACCATCTAGTGCCTCCACCGGCCACTGCTTGTTGTCCGCATGCCCGCTTGCTTGTTTTTTCGTTGTCCTTGATCAGTTCGCACGCTGATGCACTATATGGTTCTAAACGATTCTGGCATAAAAAATATTGTTTTGTTCCTTTAAAGTTTGTGGTGCTTGGTAGGTTGAGACAATTAGGCTGCTTGCAATTATGCAGTTGTTCCTTCAAAGATTATTCTGCAATGTTGTTCTTTTGTGTCAGTTGTGAGTTGAAGTTTAACTTCAAGGTTTTTTTTCTAGGAGGATTTAAGCTCTTTTTGAAATTTCCAGATAGATTAGATTGGAAAAGGTATAGAGTTAATTTTATCAATTGATTATAGTTCTTATTATTTAATTGAACTACGTGGTGTCTTGAATACTTGCCGGTAGGATTTCACTCTCATATTTGAGAATTTTGAATTTGAATTATGGTATTTAAAATCATGAATTTGAATACAGTTGAATTCTATGCATTATAAATATTCGTATTTGAATTATTACTGTGTTAAACTAGGTGTAAGCATAGAGTAAAATCAGAAATACAAGAGAAAAAAAATGGGGGCTAAGAAATAGGGTCTGCTGGTAGAGTTGGAGGTAATTTTTGAATTCTCAGGAAATGGGGGCAGCCCTCATTCAACCTTTGAGGACTCTAAAATAGGGACTATTGCTGGAGATGCTCGGTTGTTTGGCCACGCGCTGGCATGGCCACCTCGATGGGCTCCGGGCGTGTCGAAGCGCACCGCGCGCGTGCCGCAGCGTCCAGTAGGCCACGCCACGGAGCACCACGGCGTCGGCGTGGGCGCGTGGCGAAGCTGCTGGCATCCACGTCGTGTTGATGTTCTTCGGGACCGACGCGACGACCTCCGGGCTTGCGAGCTCCACCGGCTGGTTGGGTTTCTGACGAGTATGACCGGAGCGCGGATGAGCATAGTCTGACCCGTGTGACAAAAAAGAAACCAGGTGGGAAGGGGAACCGATTGTCACCGATCGTGTGGGGCGATTTCGCCAAGGATGACTAATGGGCGATTTCACTTATGTTGTAGAGCTCGCCGGCGAAGCCCGCGCAGCCAGCAGCCCGCACGCCGTGCCTTGCTGTGTGGGGCAATTTCGCGAGGATGAGAGGAAGCGAACGTTCCGCTCATCCTCGCGAAATCGCCCCACACGATCGGTTCCCCTCGCCAAGGATGACTAATGGGCGATTTCACTCATGTTGTAGAGCTCGCCGGCGAAGCCCGCGCAGCCAGCAGCCCGCATGCCGTGCCTTGCTGTGTGGGGCGATTTCGCCAAGATGACTAATGGGCGAACGTTCGCCCATTAGTCATCCTTGGCGAAATCGCCCCACACGATCGGTTCCCCTTCCCACCTGGTTTCTTTTTTGGTCACCGTATTATTTTCCTCTTTTAGTAAGTTTATACACCTAAAGTTTACACATCTAAAGTTTATCAACCTAAAGTTTGTAGAGCGAATGTTTATAAGTCAAAATTTATATACCCGATTCAAATTCAAATTCAGATTCAAATATTTTATATATAGAATATTTCTATACATAAAGTTTATGCGTGCATTATTTTCCTCTTTTTAGTAAGTTTATGCACCTAAAGTTTACACATCTAAAGTTTATCCATCTAAAGATTGTAGAGTGAATGTTTATAAGTCAAAAATTTATATACCCGATTCAAATTCAAATCTGGATTCAAATATTTTTTATATAGAATATTTCTATACATAAAGTTTATGCGTGCAAAGTTTACGGTATAAAGTCTATGCACATGAATGAGAGTATTAGATTTTTTTTCTAATTTTTTTACTAACTTTGTTTTTTTATTGAAATTTATGATGAAAGGAGGGGAGAGGAGTATAGGGGGGAGGGGTGGGTTGATCACTCGGAGCGATCACCCACCCATTAGGGACGCCCGCATTGAGTCGCACATGGGTCACGGAGTATTATATGTAGACATTTTTTTAAAAAAAAATATGACAAGCTGGATGAAAATGGATAAAAGAGTTAAGGGTGGTTTAAAGTGCTACAAAGATAAAATTACCCAATCTAAAATGAAAACATCGGTTGAAGGGTGATCCAAAGCGAAAAACTGACAATAAAAGGATGGCCAAAGTGAAATTTACTCTTTCTATTAGCTCTACAATGTTTGAAAACAAAATTTACACCATTATATTATTGTTTACCATGTAATAACTCTAGGATCTGTATTGAAAATTATATTTTAGGTCATATTTTGATTCTTTTTTGCACATAATTAAAAAGAAACATGCAAATTATGAAAGGATGAAAATGTAGAGTATATCACTATATATCCATTGTTAGTTCAGAAATAACATATCATATCTTGGCGCTTTGATATATATTATATTTGTATGCTCAACATGTAGGCTCTAGTTTATTTGGCCATATGACGACAGCCAAAAGTATTAATCCAGTTCTTAAAAAATACAAAAAAGAATATTTCCTCCTTTATTCATATTAAATATGCATGTTATATGGATATTTCATCCCATGTTTGGTTAATTAGGAAACACAAACCCTATCACTCTTAAACTAATATCATGCTATATAATATACTTTAGTATATGGTGCTTAAACATTTATAAATGCTCTACATATACTTGCTACACATATACTAATTATACGACTACATTTTTCAAGTAATTTTAGTTTAACATTTATATGTTGTAAGGATAATTTGAAGGAAATCATAACCGATAATCAACACGATCCCTAACAGATTATTAATAAAAAAACTGTTTTAGCATAGAGTCAAAGAATATTTTAATAAAAAGTCACCCACATATAAATATTCACAATACAATATTAAATAAGCTACATTCCTAGTTTCATTAGAAAAAAGTAACACAAATATCTGAAGCAGAGGTTGTACAAATTTTCTTTACGTGGAACTGAAATTTCATTTCTTTAGCAAACTAAAATATAATCACACGGCAAGCAGAACGTAGAATAAACATACAGAGCAAAAAGGGGGAAGGAAGAATTTACAAAAGAATAGCCCAAGCACCTCTATTACAACAAAAAAAAAAGAAAATAAATGCACCGTGGCCAGAAAATTTTCTCACAAGAAACCCCTGCGCTCAACTGGTGCAGGGTTCATCTTGCAGTAGTGGTTTGCGCCCAAAACGAAACTACTATATATATAGGCTTCAACTTAGATCCCAGGTCTCCTTGGTACATTCCAATCATGGACAATTCACATAATTGTGCAGTTGCACTTCGACTCCATCTTTGGAGGCTTCAAGCTATCAAATGTAGTAATTTCAGAAGAAGAACGTACAGGTGCTGGCTCTTTAGTAATTACTTCTGTCCTGGCAGTATCTGTGATGGATTCTCCATCACCTTCTGGTATTTTCCTTTCAACCTTACGCCTTGTCGTTCGCCTCTGAGGACCTCTCAACAAACCATCTTCCCTTGGAATGAATTTTTCTACCATGGTCACTGTTGGTCGAGGGGCATGAGCGAATTCAGCTTCCTGCTCTCGCTCCAGTCCAACTGTTGCAGCCTTGTATGCTAGGTCATGAACAATGGAACTACAAAAGAGAATTGTATCCGTAGCCTCTTCTAAAGTGAAGCATCTCTGAAATTGTTTCCTCCTTCCTTCTGCAGGTGAGACATAAAACTTATGTATGGATGAAAATTATGTGAACTGCAGTTGTACAAGGTGAAAAACGAAAATGTACTGTTTAGATGTCTGGATCTACCACATAATTGAACGACTTTTTATGCATACAAAACAACAGGTGAATTTAATTCTATAACAGATACGCAAAAGGGCAAAAATAAAAGATGGAGTAACATCAAAACTTTTCAGTAACAGTAAAATATACCACCTACTATACAGGCTTAAAACTTGGAAAGTCCAAGTTTGGTCATGTTTGTATTTTTATGATATAACAAATACCTTAATGCTACTACAAATATGGCCTTTTATGAAGCAAAGAAATTATTCTTTCAAATTTTATCCTTGTGTCTCTACTCTCTAGCAACAACTCTATCCCTCCAAATATATTATTCTGAAGGGTTGCAGCATTTCCATATCAAAATATATCAGGTCAACACACAAGTTGCAAGTTCATATAATGAAAAGATAAAAGGAATTGACTTTTTGAGCAGATAAGAGACTAAAAAAAGTGTAAGCCATGAATTCATACCATCTTTGGTTTCATCTCTTGCAGAAACCAATGCACCCTCCTCAGGGACAGATGATACACCACAATCATCCAACTTGCTTTCGTCATCAGAAGCTGCAACCGTTTCAGACAGAATTCTAGGAATGTCAGAATTGTTCTCATCACATGGATGTTCTGGAGTTGCAACTGAGTAGTCAGCGATGGCCGGAACTTCTTGACTATCGTTCTCTGTCTTTTCTATGAAGCTAACGTCAGCAGCAGGAGACTGGGGCATGTCACTTGGCACTTCAGTGTATGATGAACACATGTCAACACCTAAATTATCATCACGAGCCATCCTTTCTTTATCTTGATTCTGAGTTACTTCATCTTCTACTTCACAATCATCATTTACAATGGCTTGTGCAACAGACCAGCACTCTATAGCACTTGAGAGAGCTTCTTTAAAAGATCCATCATGTTCTTCGGTAAAAACCGCAGCTGTCAAAGCACTTGTTTCCAAACTATAGATTGGATGGCAACCATCTCCATTTACATAACTCTGAGGGTAATGTGAAGCTGATGAACCGCTAATTGACATATCCGACACTGAAGCAATGCTTTGACAACTTATTTGAGACTTCTCGAAGTCACCCTTCTTACCACTTCTAAGGCGCTCAAAGCGTACATCTGATTGCCCTGATGGCCCTAGATCAATGGAAGAAGCAGCTGAAGAGCTATCCCGTCCAATGCTACGCTTCATCAAACTGACACTATCTGCTGTATAATAGGGTTCCAAACAATGAATGTTGGTAGTAACCAAAGTCCTCCCTTCCACAATAGGCCATTTCTTGCTTCTTGTCTCCTCCAATAAGAGTACCGATATACCGTTGCCCTCAGCATTTTCAACCTTAAGGCTTGGAGGCCCAGTTGACCCCAGTTCATGAGATCCACTGGCCACCATACCAGAAATAAATCCATTATGTTGGCAATCTGATTCTGACAGGCATTGGGCCATTTCATGATTTTGGTTACCTTTTTGTAGTCTGAAAAGCTTATACTCTGTCACATGTGCTGCTTCAGCTTCTTGATAGTCACTTACACTACATGTATGTGGTGAAATATCATTGCTATTTCCCATTGAAGAGTCACCAATATCATGTGGACTGATATTTTCTTTAAGATTCATCAAATGCTTCCCCAACATCTTTTCCTCATTTGTGTGCACCACTGATTCAGTGGAGTACCTTTGTAAATAATCAGCTGGAGGTTCATTGCTCACTAACTGATGGTCAAGAGATACATCACTGCTATCTTCTACACAATCTAGTGCTATAGGACGACGATCTTCCGATGGAATGCAAACTTTAGATTGCGTAAATTTATGGTCCTTCTGATGTAGTCCTTCTGTAGTTTGTATCTTAGATCCTGCAGAAAATATCCCATCCCCAAAATCACACTCTTCACAATAATTATCACCACTCAAATACATCACATTAAAAATCTTTCCACATCTAGTGCATGTGGCCATTTCACCATCTCCAACCTCAGAACTACTTGCAAAACCACATGAAATCTGATCAGCTGTTCGTCTACTTTTCATATCAAGGCCTTCTTTGGTGCTCTCTACACAATTGACTCTGCCTGATGAGTTCTCTAAACCACTACAAGTAGTTGATAAACTGTGCTGATGACAATTGGATCCTTCATTCAGCTCATCAGATTTATCAAACATAAATATCTCTTCATGGATTCTGGAACTGTCATTTGTTTCCCATTGACCAACTAGATCATGTCGTTCATGGTCAATGTCCACACAAGGGCTAAAAGTGGCACCATGCTCAGAACTTGCGTTGCTGCTGGTTGTGACTGAGGAAATGTGTGAAAACGTAGGGCGATGAACAACATTTCCTTTGCCGGCTACAAAAGTGGTAGTGGGGACACTTGACAGAAGTGGCCTGAACATACTTTGAGGTGCTTTGCGATGATCCTAAAAAGGAATAAGATGCTTTTCATCTTAGCAAGTAGGGACAATTAAATGAAGTATTAATAAAGAACTACTAAATAAGGAAAAAGGAGTTTGAGTTGCCGTAAAATAGGCTGCATTAAAATGTCAGTCAGACTATGTGTACAAGAGTATAGTTTATGGGGGAGACTCACCGAAGAAAATTATTGTATAACAATTTATGACATGTAATCCTTTACAGGATCTATAGCATTCCCAAATAAGTGAAATAAAAATATCCAATTCCACAAAAACAGAATGGCAATGCTTACCATCAACCAAACAGCAGAATCAAATGATCTCTTTGGGGCAGAACTAGGAGAGAAACTCTTGGATGGCTTCTGTGATGATGCAATTGTTCTGGTCTTCATCACTGCCAGGCTCTTTTTTACAGCTGGACTGCTGGAATAGTCAATTGGCACAGACTGCATAGAGTCTAGATCATCTTCACCAGAAGATGTTGCAGAAGCTTTGCTGTATGAACTGAAACGATCTCGTTCAGTACTATGGGACGAAATAGTTCTTCTTGACGGGGTAGGAGACATTGATTGTCTTCTACCTCTTGAAACCATGTTTAATCCACTGAAAGATGAAGGGGACCCACCCCTTGAACGGGATAATGGGCGGTCTGACATAGATGTGCGAAGGTTTGGAGGTGCATCAAAAGAGAAACCGGGATCACTTGACTGCCATCCTTGAAATTTTGGAGAAGATGACCTACGATTAGTTTTCACAGGTGAAGCTCCCCTTGTTCCATTCAGCGTTGGTCCACTTGAAGTAGCACTCATCCTCCTTGAGGCAGGACTAGGTGACCTCCGTGGTGGTGTTAATGTCTTATTACCCGGAGGAGTTGGAGATCTTCGAGATGGTGTGGATGATTGCAGAGAAAGTGGTGGGCTACAACGAGAAGATGAATTCGTTGATCTTGTCCTTGTCAGAGCTGTATTGCTGCTACTTGAGCGTGGTGACAAGCTTAGTCTATTTGGGCTTGCACTGCTTCTACTAGATCTTTGAGCATTTTCCATCTGTGCGCAAACCAGAATAAGTAAGTGTAATGATTACCTTTCCTAATATAAAAGATTGGAGTTAGCTGTAATGATGATGACTCCTTAATCTTTTGTAAAAGAGTAAATTTCATAAAACCCCACCTATTATGGTCCAAGTTGCATAAAACCACAGCAATTTTGGCATATGGCATATAACCCCAGGTATCATGGTTACAAAATTTCACAAAACCACACCGGTAACTATTTTGTCTTTGACCTACCACATTTTTTAGTTCTTCTACAATCAAATCTCAAATTTATGAGTTTTTTATCCAACATATAAATGTATGTCAAAATGGTTAACTTTGTTGTTTTGTGAAACTTTAAGACCATAATACCCAGGTTATGAGTCACGTGCCAAAATTTCTGTGGTTTTGTGTAACTTGGACCATAACAGGTGGGGTTGCGCATAAACATATTACTCGTAGCATGATTCTTTGTTTTGATGATAGGGTGAAGATTTTCCATGAAACTACAATAATATGTGACACTTATTCATGCATAATGGATTTTGCATGGTAGCTTATCCAATTATTTTGAGTTTACAGGAAACCAGCTTCTGTATTTATGGGAACTCAAGGTATTTGTATAGATGGCACAATTTGCTTAAAATGTGATGCAAGAACCTAGTGTTGACAAGCACTTAATATTACTTAAAATGGGACTCATATAGTCTATGGTAGGTTAAGCACTTACTGTTGATGACCTTGAAATCAATATTGGCTTTGTCTGAGCCCTGCCCCTAGGAGCTGGACCAGCGAGCTTGTCTTCATCATCATCCAATGAACGGAAAAGTGGTGTTTCTGGAGGAGTCAACAACCTGTTATCCAAAAGGTTAGATGACAGAACGGTAATTATTGACACAGAAAATAATGACCAATAGCACTATAGGCAAAAGCAGAGTTTTACATACAGAGAAGCCTATCAATACAATAACCAAATAAAATAAAATAAAACACAAAGCTACAGTATAGAAGCATCAGAAGTTCAGAACACAGAAATATTCAGAACCATGCTAGCTGTCTGATGCTTACAGAAAAGGATGCAGTTAATAATTCTTAGAAATTCATCACATGCAAAGAATGAGTAGGAGTGCTGCATTAACAATATCACTTATACATTTGAAACATTCACGAGATGTTTAATAAATGACTACTAAAATATCTATCTGCAGATCATCATTTTGCTCCTAAGAATACAATATAACTTAAACACAACCATTAGGTCCAGGTTAAAAGAAGCATGAAATTGCCATAGATAGTTTGATACTAATAGACTCAGAGATCTCAATTTAAGCAGCTAAACAAACGTTGCATTTTCGACAACTAAATAACACCACATGGATACATGACCAACAAGAGCCTTAGCAATTCACAACTGAACGCTTATCTAGTAGCCTATCTACAGGCAATGAGAATAAATCCTGCATTATTACGTACTGAACAAAACAAGGGCAAATAGCCGAAACAAACAAGAGAAGTTGAAATCTATCTCAAAGCTATGTGTGCTATATGAAAAGAGACATGTGCTATGAAGTTGAAACAAAAGAAAGCAATATGTGATACTAAGCATGCATACTGCATACCAATCATAATCATTCTTGTCACCATCAGTGTTAAGAAAATCACGGCTTTCTTCTCGTCTGGCAATGTTGACGCCAAGCTTGAGATCCGGAAAATAGCTCAATTTTGCTGGTACACGTGAAGCAGAAACCAACATTAGCAGCAAGTACCAATTACTTAACACATTTCACCATAGAAATAGAATATAACAAAAAAACAAGCTGATTATAGAAATGGGGAAGATGCTATGAGCATTACAGATCGTTTCATCAAAATTATCGGACGACTCCAACAAGAAGTTGTCCTCCTCATTTTTCCGCATATCATTGAACAATGCGAGTTCGTCATCCTTTGGTTTAGCAGGCACTGTGCTCCCAAAACTGTGGCCCCTCCTATGGGAAATCTCCTTTGAAGGAGATCTCCTCAGGGAGGGAGAGGGTGGCATCTTTATAGACTAGAAGTCTCTTCGAGAAAACTTTGCTATCCTCCTCCTTTCCAATATATCAGATCGAGGAGACGATAGTCCATTCAGAACAATTACCTGCAAAATTAAGCAATTTTACTAAGAACTCGACATACAAAGTGAGACCAAAACACAAAGAACCCATTCGATGACGCATTAACATAGCGCATACGAAATCTTAAGGCACAAAAAGCAGCTAAGCCAATAAGAGAACTCTTGTGCCATCCACGTATTGCCTAAAGTAACCAACCAATCACACCACCAAGCGAAATTATCCACACAACTACACTAACATGGTTAGTAGGTTCCTCGAAAGCAATCAAGCAGGATCAGGGACCAACCAAAAGTGCCTCAAAAGGTACCCTCCAAGAACCAAAACTGCCCATGTTGGGGACGGCTTGAGCCTTGAGGCTGACTGACCTAACGTGGAGGCACTGGGGTTCAGCTGAACCCCAAGAAAAGAAAAAAAAATCTCAGAAGCAATTTGCGCCTGTTAGTACAGCACCACGCCACCACCACGCATCAAATGAAGGAGAAATTGGATTATAGGTTAATGGGAGATGAACAATTCAATCCGTTCCAAGGCCGGATGGATCTCCCAATCTACGGAACCCCAAGTTGGAGCAATGAATACCTCCAATTCGATTGGAACCGAGAATTGCGCGAGGAGGGGCCACGCAAGGGGGGTGTGGCCGTCCCACACGCCGCGCCACCCCCACGGCTCGCTCGCCGGAGGGGAGAGAGCTCAGAGAGGCAAACGGATTCCGCCTCCTCCTCCTCCTCCTCACCGCATTCCGCCTCCCGGCAAGCGGAGGCGCCGAATCTCGGCAAGCGGGTAGTGTGGGTGGGGGCGCAGATCCGGCTTGATGCCGCCGGAAAAGCAGCAGCGGCAGCAGCGTTCGGAGCTCCGCGGCGTGTGGGGATGGGTTGGCTAGGGTTTCCGTGCTGCTGCAGGTGGATGCGGTGCGTTGCCGCGGCGAGAAGCAAGCAATGCAAGGGCGCGGCTGTGGGGGTGGACTGGACTGGACTGGACTGGGAAGAGAGAGTGTGCGTGTGTGCTGTTGTGCTGCGATTGCGACTGTGTGAGGAGAGAGGGCGGCGAGCTGGAACGGGAAGAGAGACCTTTTCTTCTTCTTTTTATTGGGTGTTTTTTCTTTTCTCTTTTTATACTGGTATTTCTTTTTTTTTCTTCTTTTTGGTTGACTAGGCTGTGTTTGAGAGAATAGGAGAGAAGAAGATTGAGAATATATGCAAAACGAGATGATCTATTATCGCATGATTAATTAATTATTAATTATTATAAATTTTAAAAATGTATTAATATGATTTTTTTTAAAAACAACTTTCCTATAGAATTTTTTTTAAAAAAAACACGTCGTTTAGTAGTTTAGGAAGCGTGCGCGCGGAGAACGAGACAAAATCTTCTTTCTTACTATATGTTATAATGTAGTACTCAATCTAGGTTTAATATACGGCGCCACTAACTTTTTTTTACATACGTTTGGTTATTTGTATTATTAAAAAAATTATATAATTATCATTTTTTCAATCATTTTTATCATTACAGTTACTTTATGCGTGACTTTTTTTTCCGTTAACATGTTTCAAAAATATTTTGGAATAATAAGAATGGTCACACGTATATAAAAAAGTCAACAATGTCATATGTTAAAACCAAAGGGTATGAGAATACTAAGATCTAACGAATGGCACACAAGATTTTTACTTGGTATGCTTTTATAATTATTGGCTCTGTTTGGCAATGCTGCTATGCAGCTGTAACTGGCTATGTTGTACAGCCAGTGCATATATTTTCTCTATCATGCACTGTAGCGCAGCTGCACAACAGCTGCAATTTAGCTGCAGCGAACAGACCCATTTTTGTTTGGATTACATGAAAGACGCACAAGCACACCAACAAGCCTATCAATAAGAAATCTCTGAGCTCACTGAAATCATGCTATATATAATAATTCAGTTTGTTGTGTAATGAGAACCCACAAAGCGCTCATTATTTGGAAAAAAAATCTATTACAAGAAAGATTAACACATATCATGCACATACTTGTGAGGACATCCCTTTAAAATATGCCTAATTGCCTACCCTCAGGAAAGTAAAAAGGTGATACACATCCACTGCTAAATCCACCCAAGAGGTCATTTCAACCCACATGTTAGCCTTACTCCATCCATCCCAATTTTATTATCTCTTAAGCAAAAGGTACCAGGACCAAAGACATCAACATATTTATCATTCTAAAATTAATCCTCGTCGATCAAGGTGCTATGTTGTATAGCATCCAACATAAATTAATTCACATTTTAAATGTTGCATGGGTTGAACCAATAGAAATTAATTTTAGTTCACCGCATGCATACACTTGCATGCATGTAGGGTATTTCACGATGCCCATTTTACTTTTTGCATAAATAAGGTATTTCACGATGCCCATTTTACTTTTTGCATAAATAAACAAAGAGATACTTGGTTATATATTGGTTATATGATGATCATTTTGAGAAAATCTAAAAAATCTTAGGTGATGATAAAACTGGAATAGAGGAAGTATCATATATTTTTAAATGCTCAAAAATATGCATCCCTCAACTCTAGCAAGTTTACTTTTGATATCAAATCCAAACATATTTACCAGGAACTTGTTAGTAAAACAAGAAACATGAAAATGTGCTTTTAATAGGATTTGTAGTAAGGCGTAAGATATATCACTAATCTTCGTCTATTTGTTAGGAGCGTACTTTAGGTGTGTGAATAGGGTATGCATGTATATCTTTCGTGTAATAAAAAATACATTAATATGCAAGGACAATTTGAGAAAAAAAAATCTAGTGTATCATTTACATGTTCATGAAAAAATAATGTTTTTGTCGCTTAGCAGTATACACTAGATAAGTGCCAAAAATAAGCATTATTGGGGTCAAAACAAAAATACTCCTTCCGTCCCATTTTAACCACAATCATGATTTTCCGTATCCAACTTTGATTATCTATCTTATTTAAGATTTTCTTTGAAAAAATTTAAAAACATAAGTCATGCATAAAGTATTATTCATGTTTTATCATCTCATAACAATAAAATACTAATTATAAAAAATTTTAAATAATACGGACGATTAAAATTGGACACGAAAACTTATGGTTGCACTTAAATTATGACGGAGGGAGTATTCCTTATCGATGTCAACGTGCATTACAAAATGCAACCTCAACAGTTAGCTAAACTAACTTGTATATATATACAAATAAAAAAAAATTTGCCTCTCGATGTCGTTATGCTTTCTAAAACACTTCCATTAATCAGTTTATAGACTGTAAATCTGTAATATATAGTATAAAACAAAAGTGAAAATGCTGTAAAAGTATATTTGAAGACAAATATTATTTTCCTTTTTACTTACCCTCTGGCTTTTATCAGGGAAAAATCCACACAATGCTCGTTTTGTCGCTTTGCAATGAGTGCTCCCATTTATGCACGTGGCCTCCGTAATCATCCAATCACTGTGGGGGCACCGCACTCATCTACTCTCTTGCGTCACTCTTCATTTCATTAATTAGGGCTTAATCGAATGAAGAGCGACCAAATCCAATCTAAAACCATACGGCCATATCAATTGCTTCAACCTTTTTTTGCTCATTTTCTAGACTACTGCCTTTGTACACATCACTCTTATCACCAGAATATCAGTAGATTTACATCACTCTTATCACCAGAATATCAGTAGAAGCAAACTAAATTTGTTTTTCTTTTGAAAATTTGACATTTCACTCTTCAACAATGAAAACGTTTAGAAGTGACCCTTTTTTAATTAAATGGAGAAATATCTCAAATGCTATAGGTTGTCATACAAGTGATTGAAGCAGTGCTGATGATGACAGATGCATGCAAGAACACCTATAGATCCTGGTCTGCTTAATAACACAGGCAATAGGCAATAATACTCATAAGAATTTAACAAGCCTCATGCATTGCAACAAAACAGGCTATAAATACAGATATTTAATCTAGTAAATTCACACTTTGGACAACCCTGATAGACCACATAACAAGCAGAAGATCTGACAAAACAGGAACATAGGGGAAAAAAGAATTTACAAAAGAATAGCTCTGGGGTGCACTTCTGTTACCTAAAAAACGGAATGCACCATCACAAAAAAAAAAAAAAATCTAACTTAAGGCCCTGTGTCACTCACCAACTGTGGACGACTTGATTGCGCGTGGAATGGAACTACCATAATACATCAATTCCAACCTCTATTTCAAGTCACCTTTGCCGTACCAGATGCTTGAGTAACTTACATAATTATACAGTTGCACTTGGATTCCAGTTTTGGAGGCTTCATGCTCTCAGATGTCCTTGTAATTCCAGAAGAGGAACGCACGGGTGAGTGGTCTGTAGAGATATCATCTTTCTTTTCAGCATTTTCGGTTATGGTTGTTTCACCTTCCAATCTTTTCCTTTTAACCTTACGGTTAGGCGTTCGTCTGTGAGTCAGCTTAAGTAAACCATCCTCCTTTGGAATAGACTTTCCAACGATGGTAACAGATGGGCGAGTAGGCTCTGCGTGTACTCGTTCCTGCTCATGGTCCAGTGCAATTGTCGCTGCCTTGTATGCAAGGTCATGAACAATAGAACTGCAGAGGAGAATTGTATCGGTAGCTTCTTCCAAAGTGAAGCATCTCTGAATTTCTTTCCTCGATCCTTCAACTGCCTCGGGTGATTCTGCTACAAGTGAAGAGAGATATACGTTAAATACATAATCAATGGTATACCACCCTGAAACTCAAAGTTTATTCTGGAATATTTTAGAGCAACTTCTGCTGACGCTGGCATTCAGGAATTTTGTATTCATATTTATTACTCCATCTGTTCTTTTTTATATGTTGTTTTAGAATGTAAGTACTCAAATCTCAAAATTTTAACTCACTAATATAATGATAAAATATTAAGATTTGATATGTGAATTACACTAGGAGATTTGACATGAAAAATTCTTTCATGCAGTATATACTTATATTGTTAATACTTTTATTCAGAAAGGCAATTTTAAAATAAAACAAGTGGATTGGATATTGTGTTGATGTCCTAAACGACGAGTAAAAAGAACAGAGGGACTATATAAATTGTTAATGTTTTTTATCAGAGGAAAGGAAAGGAACACATTCAACGCAAACCATTTCATGTAAGTAGAGACCCTGTCTGAACATTTACATGTATCCATAGACCATGAAACAGCAATCAGCTATGAATTTATCAACGAGGGTATGTTCTAAAAAAATTCAAGATGTTAATCAATGTGTTACATAAACCCTCTGTTGATACAGAATTATTCTGACCAGAAAGTAGAAAGAATAGTGCAATGATTATTAATAAAATTGTTTCTATGCCTTACTTGACAATAACCGTTCTGCATCTTATCAAAAAATTACCACCTACACGTGAAGTGTCAAATAGAAGTTTATATTTGCAGACCCCGCACAGCAATGAAGAATTGAAGATCAACTATGGCCAACATTGTGCAACAGTATCAATTGGCCTATTTTAAAGAAAACTTTTCATTATTTCGTTTTCCCCTTTTTTGCCTTCTTTACTTCTAAAAGTATATCATGTTTTACTCTTTTCTCCTCAGCTATCGAGGATGGTACTGCGGCTCAGTCTGATGTGATAATTGCCAGCCCCCATCTTTTCTAAACCCCTTCATCCCACTTTTCAATACCTTGTATTGACACTACCACGCTTCCTACTACTATATATATCCTATTAGACACTCTACATCTGTTGTCACTTGTCAGACATGGAAATGAGGTGCAACAGCTGTAATCTGGTGATGGTATGCTGAGTTTACAAGCTGCAGTAGCAGGTGCATCTGTACTATCTTCAGGTGGTTTTAATATGTTATTGAAGGCACTAGTCACTACACCAAGCATGGAAACATCTACAAGACCATTCAACACATGCAGCAGACCATATGTGTGTAGAAGATTAGAGCTAGGAATGCCATACCAAACAGTTCCCATGATCCAGCGTGCATAACCCCAAAGGAAAAATAAAGCGAAAATAACATGAAGCATGTTCCTTTAGGTAAGTTGCAAAATGAGATAAATATTATCTTTAACATGGAAAAAGTCACACATAATCTTCTATATACTGCTGTACAGCACCTCTTATCCAAGAAAATACACAATCTACATGCATTACTTCACTGTATATTTTTTTCTTTGGTTTGAAAGAGTAAATAATTTCTGTAGAACTAAAAAAAGGAGCGGCCCCATCGTTTAGCGAAACTGCATATTTGCAAACGAAAAATAATTTGAGAATAAAACTTTTATATACGTGTTCTTAGTGACCTAAAAGCAAAGGCTGAAAAATAAATTTCGATGAAAAAAACCCTAAAATCAATTCCAAATTTAAAGTTGAAAATTTAAATTTTGGCTGATAAGCATAAGCATAAGTGAAAAGATGAGGCCGGAGATCCTTTAATACAAAAAGCATGATTCCCAGACAAGACTTTAACATAGAGGAGCAATGCATGATTTATGCAAGTACAGAATAAGCATGAGTTAATAAGTTATGAGAAAAGTAGAATATTTGACATGGAAAAGTTCATATTTAGAAATCATGAAACCATACCATCATTAGGAAGTTCCTTTATGTTAGTATCTGTTCCAGAAACCAACACGTCATCCTCAGAGACAGCAAGCGTGCAACAGCCATTGGATTTATTTTCCTCATTTGAAGACTGAACTGCTTCAGACTGCATTTGAAGATCATCAAAGTTGTTCTCATCGCTTGGATGCTCTAGGGTGCTGATTGTATAGCAGTGTGCTTTGGTGGAAGTATCTTCCTCAGTTTTTGGTATATAACTTTCCTCAGCAGCTGAAGATTCTAGGGCATCACTTGGCATTTCAATATCTGATAAACACAAGTTAGTGCTCAAATGATCATTGTCAGCCACCATTTCCATATTATGGTTCTTAATAAGTATATCTTCTGTTTCACTTAACCTATGAAAACCTGAGGTGTTCAAGTCAACAAGGATTTCATCATTGATTATCGGCTGCACAGCAGATGAACACTCCATACCACTTGATAAAGCATCCATACAAGAGCTGTCATGTTCTTCAATAGAGACTGTTGTTCTCGATGCACTCCTTTCCAGCGTGTCAATTGGGAAACAAGTGTCACCAATAACATCACTCTGAGGGCAAAGTGAAGCTGATGAACCACTAATTGACATATCTGACACTGAAGCAACACTTTGATGGCTCATGGTACTGCTCATTCGAGCCTTCTCGAAATCACCCCTCTTGCCACTCCTGAGACGCTCAAAACGTACATCTGATTGCCTTGATGACCCTAGATCAATGGAAGAAGTTGCTGAAGAGCTATCCCGTCCAAAGCTACGCCTCATAGCACTGATACTATCCCTTGTATAATAGGGTTCTGAACAAAGAATATTTGTTGCAGACAGAGTCCTTCCTTCCACAACAGGCCATTTATTGCTACTTGACTTCTGGAGTAAGAGTACCGATATCCCAGTGGCATCAGTGTTTTCTACCTTAGGACTTGAATATGCTGTTGATCCCAGTTGATAATTATCACCAGAGGCAGTTTGAGAGATGGAATCATTATGCTGGCGGTTTAGCTCAGGAAGGCATTGTGGCAAGCTTTCACTGTGGCTGTTAATTTGGTCCCTGAAATGCTCGTGTTCTGCAGATGCTTGTTGGTTATCACTTACCTTAAATGGATGAAATGAAATATCATTGTTATTTCTTAGAGAGTCATCAACATGATATGGCTTTATATTTTTGGTATGATTCATTACCTCATGAGCCAGCAGCATTTCCTCATTTGTGTCCACCATTGACTGAAGTGGGGAACATGCTTTTATACAATCAGCTGGAGGTTCATCATTAAATTGATGACCAAGAGATGCTTCTTCCCTATACTCTACACAATCCGAGGCTATAGAAGTTCCAGATTCAGCATATGATTTACAATTTGCAGTTATTTCGTCCTGTTGGTGTGCTTCTTGTAAAGTTTGTGTCACAGGGCCTGCAGAACATATGCTAAGCAATAAACCACATTCTTCACAATAGTCACCTTGTCTATCCACATCCATAACCTTGAAAACGTTCCCGCACCTGGTGCAAGTAGCCATTTCACCATATCCAACATGAGAACTGTTTGTACCAGAAGTCTGACTAGCTGCCCAACCCTTTTCCATGTCAATGTCCTGTCTATCACTTTCCACAAATTTTGTAGTCTCCTCATGACTGGTTTCTTCATTCAATTCATCCAATTTATCAAACATAAATATATCACCATGAACTTGATGGTTATCATCCCATTCACTAATCTGATCATGCTGCTCTTGGTCGTTATCCACATATGGGCCGAAACTGGCACTATGCTCAGAGCTTGCATTGCTGCTAGTTGTCATATAAGAATTATGAGAAAACATAGGCCGCTGCACAACATTTCCTTTGCCAGCATTAAATGTCGTAGTAGGGACACTTGATAGCAGTGGCCGGAACATATTATTGGGAGCTTTGCGATGATCCTAGAAAGGAAAGATCACATTTCTCATCGTAAGTGCAACTTGACAAAAATCAAGAACAAGTTGAACAATAAGAAAGATTGCAGTATACTAGCTGCATATGCAAGTATTTTTAGCAGATGAAGATATATTTATCGAGTGAAATGGAATGGTTAGAGCAAGTAATTAACAATGCTAAAGGGAATGAATATACATTTCATAATTTTAAAAAATGGTCATGGTCATAATACAAGTAAAAGAACAAGCAACTCTACCAAAAGAATATTCAAATATGTAATTCATGATACCATACATCGAAAACGTTTGGGCACTAGATAAAAGCAATATAACCAAAAAATATGCAGGAATATTAAAAGCAAATTATTAAAAGGATATACAATAGCTAAGAAAGAAAGAGACAAATCAGATTAACTGCACAATTATTAAAAGCAAATTTTCTAAACTGATTTACCAATTGGACACAAGAGGCTCAGGTACTATTTCAGTAAGGTGGAGGTAATCTATCATCATAACAGAAAACAAAACAATGCTTACCATCAACCAAACTGCAGAATCAAATGACCGCTTTGGGACAGAACTAGTGGAAAAAGTTGTGGACGGCTTCTTTGATGAAGCAATAGTTCTGGTCTTCATCATAGACAAGCTCTTTTTTACAGCTGGGCTGGTGGAATAGGCAACTGGTAGAGACTGCATGGAATCCAGATCATCTTCACCAGAAGATGTTGCAGAAGCTTTGCTATACGAGCTTAAACGATCTCGTTCAATACTATGAGATGAACTTGCTCTTCTAGATGGAGTAGGCGATAGTGATTGGCGTCTGCCTCTGGAACCCATGTCCCTTCCACTGATAGGAGGAGAAGGGGATCCACCCCTTGAATGGGATAATGGATGATCTGGCAGAGAAGTTCGAAGATTTGCAGGTGCATCATGAGAAAATCCAGGAACATTTGAATGCCATCCTTGAAGTTTTGGTGAAGAAGATATGCGGTTAGTTTTAACTGGAGAAGGACCCCTTGTCCTATTTAACGCTGGGGTTGAACCAGTACTCATCCTCCTTGAGGCAGGACTAGGAGACCTCCGTGGAGGTGTTAATGTTGAGGCAGGACTTGGAGATCTCCGTGGAGGTGTTAATGTTTTTGCAGATGGAGGAGTTGAAGGTCTCCATGATGGTGTTGGTGGTTGCAATGCAAATGGTGGACTAGAGCGAGAAGCTGCACTAGAGGGTCTTGTCCTTGACATGGAGCGTGGTGATGGACTAAGCCTAATAGGGCTTGCACTGCTTCTACTAGACCTTTGAGTATTGTCCACCTGTGTATAAGTTACACAAAAATAATAATAAAATTGATAGTTAGGATGCCACAAGGAGCAGTTTAGAACCCTAGCAGAGAGTATGCTGTACATAGGCACTCACTGTGGATGACCCCGAAATTCGTATGGGCTTACTCTTAGTTCTGCCCCTAGAATCCTGACCAGCAGACTGTTCTTCTTCATCATCCAATGAACGGAAAAGTGGGGTCTCTGGAGGAGTCAACAACCTGTATTAAAAACACAGATGGTAGTCAAGTCATTAGACACAAACAAGATTTAAATGCTGAATATAAGTATAAGTGTAGGTAGCATGAACAGGTCTAGTAATCTATCAATCAAACACAATTTGAGTAAGTTACACTACAGATGCATTGCAATTAAGGCAACCAAGTTATAGTCAGTGGTCGAGCCGTGCTGCTAATTCTTCTGAGGAATGATCCTCCAATAGCAAGAGTGACTAGTATCATAGTTATCCATACAAAACAGTTTATCAATAATAGGTCATTTTTAACATTCTTCAGACATGAGAACTAATCTTATTTGCTAAGTTAGCATTTTATGATGGTATTCCATCCCACTGTTTAAGCAAATTAGCATTTGACAGAGTAGAGAATAATAAATTTCACATAATGGGATTCTTGTCACATTGTCATATACTATATCACCAAGTCCAACCAGCATTGCATGACTAGTCACACAACCTACTAAAAAGTTGACTGAGACAGACCTTGCACTGCTCAACTTCAAACTGCAGTCTACCTGGTACAAATTTATGGTTGCAATTGGCCACGGATAAACTAGAAGTCCAGATAACATTGAATACTATTTCCAGATTCAGCCAGTGAAAAATCACAGGATCAGGCAGCTTTCTCCAATAATCTATTTGCCGTTGGACCTTACATAGGCCACATACATTTAGTTCTATTTTTTTTGTATGTTATATTGTTATAAGGATTAATTTTTTAGTGCTGAACTGCTGCTAGAAACTGCATTGGAGACAACCTCCCTCGTGCTCATAGTTCCAGTCATGACAGATTATTTCTGTTCAAAAGAATCAATCTTTGCCAATGTACAAACATGTCTTAATTCCCAGTTGATGGACCTCACCCTTAGCACCTCTAGCAGCAGTTTGACTAGATGCTCCTACCCATGCATGACAACACATCTGTTATGGAAGCAATACCGTGCACGAACATTACCCCGCAAACTGTAGTAATAGGATTAGATTATCTATTTTCCTAAACAATTAAATAGTTTCCTATGACAGGAATTAGTCAATCGGCATCCTATTTCTTTGTTAGGAAAGTTATAAGTTAGTAATTAGGAAGAGAGATGGTTTGAAAAGAAAACAGATATTGCATTTTTAAGGGGCAAGTTTCTATGTACTGTAAAGAAAGCAGATATTATCAATTATAAGCAATGAATCTCTAAAGTTAGTCGAATAAGATTCAGAGCTTCTCTTGGCTCTGACTGGGAGAAGATCTGCTGGTGCTAATTGAGGGAAATTATGTTATCCCCATGTGTCCGTACTCTTAATCAATCCATGAATCAACGTGCCCCATAACATCATTATTTTTTTTGGTTTGTTACTTAGCTGATGAATGAATATGTAATCATAATAGACAATAGGCTCAACTGAAATGCATGTGAATTTGTATGCGACTTTCTATATTTAGCATAAAGCGTAAATTTTCTTTGTAAAAAATTGGCATACCCCTGCCATATCAATAAAACCTTGCCTTATTCCAATTTAACCAACAATATATGCAAGGTATAACAAGTCAACAACTGCAGTCTGCATGCACCAATATGCCCAGGAAAGAAATGCACCTTAATCCATATAATAGCTAAACTATATCTTGTCAGGAAGAAACATCACAGAATAGGATAAAGGATGGCTTGATGAATCATACTCCCCAAGTTGCAGTATTTTAAATCGAACTTTGACCATAAGTTTTTCTTCTATTAAACTGCTACTAGTTAGAAAATACTAATGAACATATGAAGCACACTGAAATACTAAAGGCAGTAAGGTAACACTTCTGTATCACTAAAACTGTACATAATTAGCTTGAACTGGGAGTATAAAGCAAGCAATGTTGATAACCAGCATATGGCTATACTAATCGAGATAGAACAAAATGTAATGTGCTATTTAGTTTACATACCACTCATAATCATTTTTGTCACCATCAACGTCAAGCAAATCATGGCTTTCTCTCCGTGTAGGGATGTTGACACCAAGCTTGACATCAGGGAAATAACTCAATTTTGCTGATACACAGGAAGCATTGTTTTACAAAGGAAATTAATGGCAATTTGCAGTAGAAAACATTTTTAACACTAGGCAGTATTATAACGGAAAATAGTTTATAGAAACTGAAGTATTGTATAAAGGACGAGAACGAGAATGGTTTATAAGAGCATTACAGATTGACTCATCAAAATCCTCAGAGGGTTCCAGTAAGAAATTATCGTTCTCAATTTTCTGCATATCAGCAAACAAAGTGAGATCCTCATCCTTTGGTTTAGCAGGCAGAGCATTCCCAAAACTGTTGACCCTCCTGAGGAAAGTTTCCCTTGAAGGAGATCTCCTTGTTGAGGGTGAGGGTGGCATCTTTTACGGCCTTTTGATCTGTCTAAATGCTTCTATGCTCCTTTCTGAGAAATAAGACCAGAATCATAACCTGTCTTGGGTAACCTAACAAGTGGACCAAAAACCATAACCTGCAATCTGTGACATGACAGTTCCATTAAAGGACTGAAAAACAGAGATGAACCAAAACAAAAGGAAGGAATTATAGTAGCTACAACAGTAATACAAAAAGATCGACAACATAAGCTGCGAATAAAAAATAGATAAATAATATTTATTTTTATCATGAATTGCTCAAATGTACAACCCATCACACCGTGAAAAGAAAGTATCCACCCAATTACACACAAGAATCTATCGTACTTACTAACATTATGAGCTATCTAAGAAAAAGGAACAGAAAAGCACACATAAAAGTTGAAGCTATTGTAGTTTCTCCCACTCCACTGCCCAAACTGCCCAATCTGTCACAGGCCTAGGTGAAATCAGCCACCCAACTGGGCCAAATGAGCTAGGGTCGCAGATGAGTTCCTCGAAAATAAATTGATTAGATAAAATCACGCCTGAAGGCTTCGGGTCTACTTGGCTATTATACAAACCATGATGCAACTTGTTCTGTATGTAATGACTCATGAAACAATGAAACCTACCCAAGCAAACAAAGCATCTCAAACAATAACACACGAGGTAATTCTTCAAAAAGAAAAAGAACTTAAAGCAGCATACGGCAACAACAAAAATCGAATTCATGCATAGAGCACACAACATTTCCAAATTTACTCTTTGCCCCCACATTTCATGACTTGCAATTAGATTTTAGATTAACTGGACGAAATTCGGCAACTACAAAACACATGATTTAGACAAATTCGAACTACACGTGAAGGGGAAAAAACACACACAAACACATTGTAAACGCCCGCCTCCATTCCCCGAAACATTTGCACACGCCGTAACGGTAAAAAAAAAAAGGAAAAAAAATCGGCACCACAAGCAGCAAGCGCAACTGAATCAACAACACGGAGAGGGAGATCGATGCCGAACAAACAAAACCGCAACCAAAACGGAGTCCACCCGATGCGGACCTAACTTGGGGGATGGGAGGAGTCCAGCTGAACCCACAACTTTTTCTCTACTTTTCTTTTTTTTTCTTTTTTGTTTTTTTGCAAACAAACTGCTATTCTTACCGCACCAGCACGCATAAAAAAATCGAAATCAAGAAGAAATCGGATGGATTAATTGCAGAGGAAGAAGAAACCAATCCAATCCAATCCAGCCCAAAAATGGATCTCCAACCTACAGCACGAACAGCTCAGGAAGCAGCGGGCAGTGCAGAGACAATACCTCCAATTAGATTCAAACCATCCGCGTCGCCTCCAGCTTAGCTTCAATCCAGCGAGCTCCCCCGGTGACAACGCCGCACTGGGGAGAGACAAAAGCTAGGGCGGGTCCCAGAACGAGAGAAGCAGAGAAAACCCCACACACACCGCACCTCCGCGCCGCGTTCGCCGGCGTCCGCGCGCGCGCAAGCAAGCAAAGGAGGGGAGAGGCTACGTCCGCCGCCGCGCCGGATTCCGCCGCAAGCAAGCGAGAGCGAGGCGAGGCGAGGGGAGGAGGAGTGAGACGGAGGCAAGCGAGGAGGAGAGAGAGAGAGGAGGAGGCAGTTGAGCTGAGAGAGGAAGAGGAGATGAAATTTCTGGAGGCAGAGCTAAATTAATCAAATGATTTGGAGGCATTTTTTGGGCTTAAATAATGGCGATTTATTTATTGTTTGCGTTAAGACTACACCATTGTGTGGGCTATTCCGTGTGGCTAGATGAGGGGTTTTCGGTATGATTGTAACAAGTTACCGTACACACCGTTGATTAAATGTGTCACTCGTCAAGTTCACAGTTGTAATTGTATTTAATTTTCTTTTTTTAACATAACACTTGGTGAGAGCTAACTAAGTTAATCTACTCACTCCGTTTATATATCGTCACGTTTTATCTGGCTGAAGGAGAGTACTCCCTCCGTGGCTACCTTTCTAGTTTAAATTTATCACGGCATGTTTTCTAAACTTGTCACGGCACGTTTTTTATATAATCCTTTTTCGTGTCATTACTTTAGAAAACGTCTTTAAATTAATTTATTGACTTTTTTATTTAACTTATCCGCTTCCGCCTCGAAAAGCTTCCTAATTTATCACAGCACGATTTTACGAAAGCTTTTTTTTCATTGACACTTCTTATAAAGCGTTTTAAATCAATTTATCAAAACCTCGAAATTGTCGTGAACTCAATTCTGGCCATAATTCATTGTCCATTAGCACTTTAGAATGCACTATCGTTAGAAGTTGCTTACATTCAAACTCAATCACTTTTATTTTAGTAAAAATATTTACGAGTAATCAAATATGACTAACCAAAACCCGTGACAATGGTTTTTTTACCACTTCATGTTCTCTCTACTATGGTTTTTTTACTTAAATTATCTTTGATGTTATTGGGCAACATATATTTTTAATAGAACGTGTGCTATAACCTAGTAGCTTACTCCCACGACGTCATATGGTCTAATAGTACCTGACAATAGTTAATTGAATTGTTTCCATTTTATTTTTAACACCTTGATATTGTATATTTCCTATCGTTAAATAAACTGCACGCTATGCGAGCATATGGATGTGACGTGGGATATCATATTTGGAGTTGTTGCATGAAAGTTTATTTAATCGGTGCCAACCGAACGTATTCTGTTAATTACCTACCATAACGAGTAAACAGACAAATCAAAGCACTGCCCAGGTAATGGAAGGGTATTTAACTTCCATATATCCCATATGTTCAATAAGGGCATATCAAAGCGAATTTTGAAACTGAAGAAGTATATGTGCCTATGCAAATTTATCTTCCAATAAAGTTAGGAAATAAACTTGTATACGGCTATAATGCCTATGAGCAAGGTTTCCCAAACCATCACCGGGGAGGTTACAACTCCTCGATGGTAAGACGACGGTAAACGTGATAATTGTGCAGTGACCGTCAAAAACCATACGAATTTTATCTTTAGGAAAGTTTGGATTAAGAATTTTCAAATCCCATGGTAAAGTCATGTTACTGCACGAACGGTAAGCCACGGTAACTGTGATCTTTGACTTGAAAAAAAAATAAAACTACAACTTCACATTTAAGGATAACTAGGCGCGCATGCATGTATCATAGGTTGCATTTGAGAAACTTAGTTGTATACTTATGAAATAATACCTGCCACATTTCAAAAGTACGATTTGTCTATGTTCTCTCCGTTAACATTGCATGACGAATTTAATTATGCCATTTATAAAATTACCTACTTGAGATTGGGTTTTATGCTACCTATGACATCTGACTCTTGAAGTTCTATCGGAAAAGAGAGAAAACTTTGCTATAAAAGATATTGGATATACAACCATATGTAACTAATTTCTCTACCAATTTGTGTAAAAAATCAATAATTAATGTATTATTTGATAGCAAACGTAATCGACTAATCATAGGTGACGTAATTCATCATAGAAAATTATGACTACCGTATATATACGTCACACTAAAAAAATAGAAATACGATGAGATTTCACGGGGGTAGTCAACATTTAATTATTAAAAAAAGATACAAATAGATGAAAAATACAATTTATGATTCAAAAGTAATAGACATTCAAAACTTAGATATCTCACATGGTTTAAATCTGACTAATGCATTTGAGCAATATGGGATATATTTTTTGCACACTTTTACACACCGTTATATTAGAAGAGAAATGTGAGATATCTAAGATGAGATCAAACGGTAGAGGGGATGGATATGCAGGTTTGATTGATTTAAGCAGAAATAAGGATCGTATGTTTAATTTGTCTTATTCCATAACTTTTATAATTTTCACTAACTTATTAGAGGCGTTAAGAAAATCTTTTTAGGGGAAGGGTGTTTAATGTAATCACAGATATTTGCTTCGATTTAAAAATACTTTTTTATGTTATGGAGTATTTATCATCATACAATCATTTATGGATTCGAGGTTCAATTTGCCTTTTTCTTTATAAAAATTTGTGGAATTTTCTTCAACTTATTAGAGGCGTTGAAAGATTCTTTAGGAGAAAGATATTTAATCTAATCAGAGATATTTGATTTTATTTATATACATTTTAGTATGTTACTATTTATCAATCATAAAATCATGAATTCATGGAATCCAGGTACCATTGTCCATGGAGTATATATTAATTGAAATTTGAAAGGTTAGCTGGTGCATTGATGTATACATGCATGCCGGACATATATAATTCATGTTGGTGCAACTGCAAGCTTGCCGCAGAGAGGCATAATTACCTAATTAGCTTGGTCTTTGTCCACGGTGCAATTTAAAGACCCATATTGAGATGTATTTTAACTTAAAAATTGATGTATTTTATTATTAACCTAAGAATTTGCTTTATAATTCAAAATTAGTAAACTAAGCCACCACATAAAAATTAATAAGCTTGCAAAAATAATTTACTTCATAATTTCATATTTGTGGAGCGTTCCTAAGCCAACACCTGACACTCTAATAAATTGTGTGATATTTCTATGAATCATATGAAAACACATCTAGGCATCAATTTTAGTTTAATATGATAAATCCATTATTTTCAACCAATAGATTAAAAAAAATCCACATCTAAAACCCTACCCAGGTCATGCTTAGTCCCATTGTCCACCACTCCCCGTTATTCACGCTGTTTATCTATATGTTTTATTCCCTATCCTATTTTCTTATTGTACCAATTAGAAAGCAAAATTTGTCATAAAAAATTCAGAAAAACAATAGGATGAAATTATACAACTAATTTTTATTCACAGTTAAAGGCCCATATTCACTATATGTTAAGATTTGAAATAAATGTGTTACTTTGGGTTATATTGGTTGACTTTTGCGTGCCATTCAAACAATTATATAAAAACATGAAAAAATAATGATATTATTTTATCAAACAATTAATTAGTCCTGCAATGATTATGAAAGTAAAATTAACATACTATAAGTGGTTTAAAAAAATTACTCTCCTCATTATGAAATTATGATAAGTCCAAATAACACTATTAGGTTAGTCATGAAACTACTATTTATTCATATTTTTTAAGTATCTACTATGAATATAATTTCAATATATTGTACAAATTTTTATTTTAAGATATGTTTAATTTTTAACATAAATTATACTTTTTAACTTAATTATAGCATGAAAATGGGAGAGGTAATTGAAGGAAAATAGGAGAAAGGGATTGAGGGACAGGGCGTACCGCATAGATGCACGTACGTATGTCAATGTATAGGCTCTGGGTGGGACCGGGTTTGGGAGGCAGATATATTTTCTTAAAATAGATGTAACGGTTGTAAATAATGGGTCCATCGGATTTAATGAAAATCAACGGTTAGATATTTTGTTTTTTCTTAGATTTCTTTTTAATTTATTAGAATGAAACATGACGATTTAGAAGTGTTTGTAGGGTGCTCCATGACGACTTAGGAGCGTTTATAGGATGCTTAATGGACTTTTAGTATATAATAGATATAAGTATTATAATATAATGTCTAGAACTATATAGATCATACCGTTCACAACATAATATCCACATGCATCAAAACTTAATTCTGAGAATTAAGTCACGATGCCTTGTAGTCATGTCAAATATGGAGTTTACTTAGCATGTTTCACAAAATCATGTACGACTTATAGGATATTTTTGATAATTTTCTCATTTTTCCTAAAATTTAAATCTGAATAGATTTCGTTCCTATGGTTGGTAACCTTCATCGTATCGCCACAGTAAGCACGGTTTGAGAAACCTGCATGTAAGGTGCTACCATAGAACAAGCATGCCACTCTCTGTTGGAAAAGAAATTATGGCTGTGCTAGTTGCTATGTCTTCCCAACTCCTCTCCCTCGTGTTTCGCGTGCACGCTTTTCAAATTGCTAAATAGTACGTTTTTTTCAAAAGTTTCTATACAAAAGTTACTTAAAAAATCATATTGATCCATTTTTTTTAAAAAAATAGCTAATACGTAATTAATCACGCGCTAATGGACTGCTCTGTTTTCCATGCGGAGGGAATGAGTTCCCAACTAGAGAAAACAAACGCAGCCTATAAGGAGGTGTTTAGATACATGGGTGTAAAGTTTTGATATATCACATCGGGTATTATGTAGGGTGTCACATGTGGTGTTCGGGTACTAATAAAAAATAATTACATTATATTATATGCCCCTGAGTTTACTACAGTTCAACGGTTTACCATCAACTTTGTCTCTCTTTATAATATGCCACCGACTTTGTCAATTTATTCAACAATATGTCATTGGAGTAGCTACTTTTTAAAAAATACCTAAAATACCCTTCAAGACATAGAGGGTTAACAATTAATTTACCTTCCAGAAGTATCGAAAAATATTATTTTTTTTTTTGCATAGTCTCTTTACATATTGAGATTTTTAATTTGCATGTATAATTTTTTTAAAAAAATATAATTTATGTTTCACATGCTAATAGAATACCCTAGCATTTAAGTAAAAAAAATACCCTAGCATTGATTTCTTTTATGTAAATCATACACAAAATTATTTTTCTAATCTAGCTATGTTTTGTGTACGCGATTCATCTTTCATATACCACATAAAAATAATTTTTCAAAAAAATGAAGAAAATCTTAAAA